TCAAGGTCAGAAACGAAACGCTGCAGAGTGAACATACGCATTACACCATGCAAGCAAACAGAGAGGTTCAATCAGCAAGGATACGCAAACATGTGATGATGCAAAGAACCGGCCAAGGAATGCAAAAGTGAAATTGGGTCTCCTGATTTCTTTAGCAGTTTCCGCTGAATCAGTCCAAAGCACCAACGATTCTTATGTTCGAACAGAACGTTGAGATGATCAGAAAAGAAAAACGGGAAATGAGAAAATACTAAAAGGGTGAAAAATCATGTCCGGTGTGAGGGCATCCAAAGATCTACAACTCTTATAAAATGTCAACCAAAATTCTGAAATTTGTTTTCGATTCTAACAAAGTAAGGTTGTAATATTAATTTTCACGCAGCTTAATCCCAATATATTTTAGTTACGACGGAATACCAGCCTTCGAACGAGCTTCTTTCTGGCCTCCTGAAAAAAAGCAAACTCTGAAATAAATGGCTACGTAAGTGGTATGCATTTTTCTCATTGCTCTTCACTACTGTTATAACTTTAGATATAATTTAGAGAAATTAAGAACAAACACATTCTTTCTTATACTCGTTTACGCTTTCTTCAAACGGTATAGTTGAAGGAAGGGTCTCTTTCGGTTTTTAAAAAAATTCCCATATTGCAGAATAATTTTTAACGCTACCGACCGTTGCACTCGAATTCAAAGTCTGCAACCTACATGCTGTACATATTCTGTATAAGGAAAAGTGAACATTTCCCTAACGTGTGGGCAAGTCACATAGTCCTCATAAAATCCTGCAATGGATGTGGACCAAGCTGTATAATTTGTAAGCAGCAAGAACAAATAGACAGATATGTTGCTTCTTGAATGCATATTTCACTATCTTATAAAGTTGCATAATTAAAACCTTTTTTTGAAGTCGAGAGATACCGCTCCTTCCAGCATAAATTTTGTGCAAGAATAAAGTTGCCCGAGGTACCTAGATGTCCCTAGCCTCAGGATTATGTCTTACGGGAGTGTTAATAGGGATTTTATGGTTAGGTCATACCACAGTAAATTAAAAATAAATTAAAAAGTAGAGCATATAATATCAGAAGATAAGAGGAAATACTTATTTAAATAACCCAACATTTCCGCGGTATAACTAAAATTACAAATACAACCAATAGGAAACAAGAACTGCGCAAAACTACTTACAAATAGCCCTGCAAATAAGTCGAAATCTAGAGATGAAAATAGAACCATAAAAAATAGGCTTTTCCTTCATTTTTTAAAACTCACGGTAGTTTTTAATATATTTAAAGAGATATTTTAGTACGATAAGCCGAAAAGCGACCGTATGGTGACTAAAATTAAATTGGATTAAAAATTAAACTATCCAAAACTATAAAATTAAACTAATAAACGAAGCAATAAACTGAAAACTAATAAAACTGAAGGTAACCACAAAAAATTGAAGATTACCGAGTTTTGGGTTTGAGTAGTAAACATAACTACGCCTACTAAATTACATATAGTACTATATAAGTATATATATATATATATATATATATTCACTCAGAAATGTGCGAACAC